TACCCCCGGGGGTCATGATTTGAACAAACTTGAATCTACACTACCTGAGGATGCTTCCATATAAATATGATCATTCATGCCTTTACTATTCTTGAGAAGAAGATTTTTAAAGAATTTCCCTATATATTTCTATGTATAACTTTGATCGGCCATTGTGGCCCCGCCCTACCCCCAGGGGTTATGATTTGAACAAACTTGAATCTACACTACCTGAGGATGCTTCCATATAAGTTCCATCTTTCCTGGCACAGTGGTTCTTGAGAAGAAGATTTTTAAAACATACCACCAAATTTTCACTATTTCCAAATTATCTCCACTTGAATAAGGGCGTGGCCCTTCATTTTTACAAACTTGAATCCCCTTCACCTAAGGATACTTTGTGGCAAGTTTGATTGAAACTGGCCAAGGGGTTCTTGAGAAGAAGATGAAAATGTAAAAAGTTTACAACGCCAACAACAACGACGACGACAGACAACGGACAAATTTTAATCAGAAAAGTTCACTTGAGCCTTCGGCTCAGGTGAGCTAAAAAACACACTGTTTTCGTATTTCTTATTTTCATTAATTTGATTGTTAGGCTATGAAAAACGATTCTATTTAGATTTTAAAGATCGCAGTACGGGCTGATAGTGTTTAATTACCGCTTATATCATGGAGTTTTAAATAAAATACTTCCCTCATTTACATCGTCTGTCTCATTATTTTCTACAAATACGGGTTGTGTATTTCTCTTTTGTAAATAAATACATCACATTACCTTCATACAGCTAATATGAAACCGATTATTGCTTATAAACTACCACGATATTACACAGACTTATTGAATTGAATTGAATATTCCGCTATTTTCTTCCAATATGGCCACAACAGGAAGCCTCGTTTTCAAGGTAATTGGATATCGAACCTGATTGAAATATAATATATTCTAAACAAAGGAAAAATTACTTATATATCGGTGTTAAGCTTGTTTTTATAATTTTATTAATTTTTTCATAACAGTATTCAAAGTCACAGTAATATTTAAAGGAATATTTTAATTATTCAAAATTATTTAATTATTTTTGCTATATTATCTCATGTTTATAGCTTTGACCTCCTTTCAATGTCAAGGCCCAGCCCAACCCCTGGATGTTATGATTTGAACAAATTTGAATCTACTCTATCTAAGATTCTTCCATATTAGTTTCAGCTTTTCTGACTCAGTAGTTCTTGAGAAGAAGATTTTAAAAGGTTTTACCTATATATTTCTATGTAAAAATTTGATTCCCTATTGTGACCCAATATCCTACCCAAAGGGGTCAGGATTTGAACAAATTAGAATTAAGACTAAAAAAAAAAAACTTTCACATAAGTTTCATCCTTTCTGGACCAGTGGTTCTTAAGAAAGAAGAGTTTAAAAGATTTTCCCTATGTATTAATTCCTATATGTTATAATTAAACTATAGCTTTGACTCCTCCCCATAATGGCCCTGCCCTATCCCTGGGTGTCTTGATTTGAACAAACTTGAATCTACACTACCTGAGGATGCTTCCCCATGAGTTTCATCTTTCCTGGCCCAGTGGTTCTGGAGAAGAAGATTTTTAAAGATTTTTCCCATATATTCCTATGTAACACTTTGATCGGCCATTGTGGCCCCACCCTACCCCCGGGGGTCATGATTTGAACAAACTTGAATCTACACTACCTGAGGATGATTCCACATGAGTTTCATCTTTCCTGGCCCAGTGGTTCTGGAGAAGAAGATTTTTAAAAGATGCCATTTATTTTTCATTAATTCATAATTATCTCCCTTTAAAAGAGGGCTTGGCCCTTCATTTGAACAAACTTGAATCCCCTTCACCCAAGGATACTTTGTGGGAAGTTTGGTTGAAATTGGTCCAGTGGTTTTAGAGAAGAAGTCGAAAATGTGAAAAGTTTACAGACAGACAGACAGACAGACGGACAGACAGACGGACGCCGGACAAAATGTGATCAGAAAAGCTCACTTGAGCCTTCGGCTCAGGTGAGCTAAAAACAGATTTCAAAGCATTAATTCATTTTCAATCTATGTACCCCCCTTAACCCCGATACCCCTGACCAGGGAGCATGAAATTCACAATTTTGCTAGATGTACCTTTCTACATCATAAATATATATATTTGGATCACTGGCATAATACCCAGAAGCAAAAGAAAAGACTTTAAAAGAATTAATGTATTTTCACTATATAATCAAAAGAGCCCCCCTTACACCAAATGGCAAAACCCCTGACACAGGGGCCATGAAATTCACAAATTTTGTTGAGGCACTCTTGCTCATAATAACTATATACTAAGTTAGTTTATTTAATACCCAGAAGCAGAGAAAAAGATTTTCAAAGATTTAATGTATTTTCACTATGTAATCAATCCAGCCCCACCTTAACACCAGAACCCCTGACCCTGGGGTCATAAAATTCACAAATTTGGTTGAGGCATTCTTGCTCATTATAACTATGTATTTAGTTAGTTTATTGAATACCCAGGAGCAGAGAAGAAGATTTTCAAAGAATTAATGCATTTTCACTATATAATCAATTGAGCCCAACACTAACACCAGAACCTCTGGCCCTGGGGCCATAAAATTCAAAATTTTGGAATAAGCACTCTTGCTCATCATAACTATGTACTTAGTTAGTTTATTTAATACCCAGGAGCAGAGAAAAAAAAGTTCAAAGAATTAATGCATTTTCACTATATAATCTAAATAGCCCCGCCCTATCACTAGGACCCCTGACCCTGGGGCCATGAATTTCACAATTTTTGGCAGAGGACTCAATGCTCATTACATTCATGCCAACAGTTTGCCTGATCGATGTCCAGGAGTAAAGAAGAAGATTTTTAAAGATTTAATTCATTTTAGTGATTTGGCCCCACCCCTCAGGCCCAGGGGGGCAGGGACCATAAAATTCATAATTTTTGTTACCTTGCACCCATAAATGCTGTATACTAAATTTGGTTGAAATTGGTTCAGTGGTTTCAGAGAAGAAGTTGAAAATGCTCAAATGTGAACACACGACAGACGACGACGGACGAAAACGGATAGCAATAGGTCACCTGAGTGACTCAGGTGACGTAATAAAATCTATTCATATTGGCATAACATAATGGAAAAGAAAAATGTCTTCAAAGAGTCCATGTTTTGTTGATACTTTCATTTATAAAAATAAAAAATAAAATCCGCCCACCCACCCTAATTTTTAAGAAAATTAGGATGAGAATCTAAATTTTAAGTTTATGTGGCCTAATAAAATTCCAATTTCAACAAGAGGCCCAGGGGCCACATCGCTCACCTGAGCAATTTGCTAGGAATAAGCACATATCAGATCCCTACTGAAAGTTTACTGAGTTTGGGGGGAAAGGGGGGGGGGAGAGGGGGCTTACATGAATTTTAACCTCATAGGGGGTCATGGTTTGAACAAACATGAATTTACACTACCTGAGGATGATTCCATAAAAATATCACTAAGCATGGATTTGAAGTTCTTGAAAAGATTTTAAAAGGTTTCTCTATATATTCCTATGTAAAACTTTGATCGTTCATTTTGGCCCCACCCTACCCTCTGGGGTCATGATTTGAAAACTTGAATCTACGCTACCTGAGGATGATTCCACATGAGTTTCATCTTTCCTGGCCTAGTGGTTCTGGAGAAGAAGATTTTAAAAGATTTTTCCTGTAAATTCCTATGCAAAACTTTGATCGTTCATTTTGGCCCCACCCTTGCCCTGGGGGTCATGATTTGAACAAACTTGAATCTACGCTACCTGAGGATGATTCCACATGAGTTTTATCTTTCCTGGCCTAGTGGTTCAGGAGGAGAAGATTTTTAAAGATTTTTCCTATATATTCCTATGTAAAACTTGGGTCGGCCATTTTGACCCCACCCTTGCCCCGGGGGTCATGATTTGAACAAACTTGAATCTACGCTACCTGAGGATGATTCCACATGAGTTTCATCTTTCCTGGCCTAGTGGTTCTGGAGGAGAAGATTTTTAAAGACTTTTCCTATATATTCCTATGTAAAACTTGGGTCGGCCATTTTGACCCCACCCTTGCCCCGGGGGTCATGATTTGAACAAACTTGAATCTACACTACCTGAGGATGATTCCACATGAGTTTCATCTTTCCTGGCCTAGTGGTTCTGAAGGAGAAGATTTTTAAAGATTTTTCCTATATATATTCCTATGTAAAACTTGGGTCGGCCATTTTGGCCCCACCCTTGCCCCGGGGGTCATGATTTGAACAAACTTGAATCTACACTACCTGAGGATGATTCCTTATGAGTTTCATCTTTCCTGGCCTAGTGGTTCTGGAGGAGAAGATTTTTAAAGATTTTTCCTATATATTCCTATGTAAAACTTGGGTCGGCCATTTTGGCCCCATCCTTGCCCCGGGGGTCATGATTTGAACAAACTTGAATCTACACTACCTGAGGATGATTCAACATGAGTTTCATCTTTCCTGGCCTAGTGGTTCTGGAGAAGAAGATGTTTAAAAGATATTTCCTATATATTCCTATGTAAAAATTGGGTCGGCCATTTTGGCCCCACCCTTGCCCCGGGGGTCATGATTTGAACAAACTTGAATCTACACTACCTGAGGATGATTCCACATGAGTTTCATCTTTCCTGGCCCAGTGGTTCTTGAGAAGAAGATTTTTAAAAAATGCCATTTATTTTTAATAAATTCATGATTATCTCCCCTTGGAAAAGGACTTGGCCCTTTATTTGAACAAATTTAAATCCCCTTCACCCAAGGATACTCTGTACCAAGTTTGGTTGAATTTGGCCCTGTGGTTCTTGATAATAAGATGAAAATGTGAAAAGTTTACAACGACGACGACGACGACAACGACGACAACGACGACAACGACGACTACAACGACAGACAACGGACAAATTGTGATCAGAAAAGCTCACTTGAGCCTTTGGCTCAGGTGAGCTAAAAAGGTAGTAGAAAGATGAATAAAGAGTAGCATACCTGGGCCTGCACTATGATTGCTGTTCGAAAATTTTATAACTGCATCCACCTGCTCATCAGTCTCTTTGGGCATCAATTGAATCAAAAGGCCTCTTTCATGAAATCTGTACTCCAAAAAATGTATGTCTGGTCTTGAAATAACATCTACAAAAAATGTATGGTATAAAAATAATTTGGTAATATAAGTGTATTTTTAACAATGAAATACTATTAGTTAACCCTTTTTTCTTTGTAAAACTTCCCTATTGTTACTCTGCCTACCCCTAGGGGTCATGATTTGAACAATTTAGATTCTACACTACCCCAGGATGTCTCTATGTAAGTTTAAATTTTCTGGCCCAGTGGTTCTTGAAAAGAAGACTTTTAAAGTTTTTTTCTGGATATTTCTTAAAAAGATTAGTATTAAAAAGATTGAGGGACAATTTGTAAATCATCTATTCTTCTATTTTCAATAATCCAGAAGTGAAAAAAGTATTAGATTACATGATCAGTACATACTGGTTCCTGCTTACAAAGCACGAAAGTTAATGCTTGATCAAGCCTTATTATTTTTTTAAAAACGCAGAATTTGACCAATTTTTAGTTTCATTTGTTCAGTATAGAACACTAAAAAAAGATTCATGAAGTTTCGCATGAATCTGAAATTTCATGGCCCAGTGGTTCTTCTTCAGAAGATTTTTTTAAAATGCCATTAATTTTCAATAATTCATAATTATCTCCCCTTTAAAGAAGGCTTCAGGCCCTTCATTTGAACGAACTTGAATCCCCGTTACCCAAGGATACTTTGTAGCAAGTTTGGGTAAAATTTACCAAGTGGTTCTTGAGAAGATGAAAATGTGAAAAGTTAACGACAACAACGATGACAAAGACAACAACAGACGACGGACAAATTTTGATCAGAAAAGCTCACTTGAGCCTTCGGCTCAGGTGAGCTAAAAAGTGTTATCTCTCTCCAAGTAAACGATGAAAACTTTTTGTTTTTGTATAATTTTGTATCTTTGACAACTTTATTATATGTGAAAATGAGAAAAATTTAGATATAGGGTGCATATAAAAATAACTAATTTATCCTAAAAATTTAAGAAAAGTATAGAAAATTTGGATTAGCCAATATCCATTTTAGTTATACTATTTATGTCAATTGAGTAATATCATCTTATAGATCCTATACAGGAGTATGCAATTAGCATCGCCCGACGCCCAGTGTAGCATAATATTTTGATACTAGAATATATTGACCGGGGTTCAATATATCGCATAATATTTTGAACCCGGGTTCACTTTTTCGATGCGATATATTGAACCCCCTTTTAAAATATTGAACCCCTACCTTTTTCATTGAAGAGGGAGGGGTTCAAAATATTATGGCCATAAAATATTGAGTCCCTTTGCCAACTTACTTTTAAAGGGAGGGGGGTTCAAAATATTATGGCCATACAATATTGAGTCCCCCTGCCCCTTTATTTTACAGGGTGGGGGGTTCAAAATATTATGGCCATAAAATATTGACCCCCCCCCCTGCCCTTTTAAGTTAAGAGGGAGGGGGGTTCAAAATATTATGGCCATAATATATTGAGTCCCCCTGCCCTTTTACTTTTACAGGGAGGGGGTTCAAAATATTATGGCCATAAAATATTGAGTCCCCCTGCCCTTTTATTTTACAGGGAGGGGGGTTCAAAATATTATGGCCATAAAATATTGAGTCCCCCTGCCCTTTTATTTTACAGGGAGGGGGGTTCAAAATATTATGGCCATAAAATATTGAGTCCTCCCCTGCCCTTTTACTTTACAGGGAGGGGGATTCAAAATATTATGGTCATAAAATATTGAGGCCCCTTGTCCTTTTAAGTTAAGAGGGAGGGGGGTTCAAAATATTATGGCCATAAAATATTGTGTCCCTAGCCCATTTTAGTTAAGAGGGAGGGGGGTTCAAAATGTTATGGCCTTAAAATATTGAGTCCCCCTGCCCTTTTATTTTACAGGGAGGGGGTCCAAAATATTATGGTCATAAAATATTGAGACCCCTTGTCCTTTTAAGTTAAGAGGGAGGGGGGGGGGTCAAAATATTATGGCCATAAAATATTGTGTCCCTAGCCCATTTTAGTTAAGAGGGAGGGGGGTTCAAAATGTTATGGCCTTAAAATATTGAGTCCCCCTGCCCTTTTATTTTACAGGGAGGGGGTCCAAAATATTATGGCCATAAAATATTGAACCCCCCCTGCCCTTTTATTTTACATGGAGGGGGTTCAAAATATCATGGCCATAAAATATTGAACCCCCATGTCCTTTTAAGTTAAGAGGGAGGGGGTTCAAAATATTATGGCCATAAAATATTGAGTCCCCCTGCCCTTTTATTTTACATTGAGGGGATTCAAAATATTATGGCCATAAAATATTGAGGCCCCTGTCCTTTTAATTTATGGGGGAGGGGGATACCTTTCTTATTCAATAGCATATTGCTCCTTAAATTTTCCTTTAATGTCGTATTGTAAATTACATTTACATACAATTTAAACAAAAATGAACTAGAAAACTGACCAGTCAGCAAGGGCCCCGCCATGGGATAGAATTATAGGGCTGCAGCTTACGGAATGATTAAAAAATATATGATGAAGAAGCAACTATATTCTTAAAATTTCAAGATAATACCTGAATATCCAAAAGGCTGTAAATAATATCCTTGTATTTACATAAGGCAGTAAAGAACAACTCATTATACAAAATGCCAGCCATTAATGAATGCAAATATCATGAAGGATTGACCTTAACTTAAAAACAAACAGCAGTTGCAGACAAAGGTTTTCTTTTATCTGAAAGTGACAGCTAAAGATAAGCCTTCTAAATTTTCTACAGCAGGCTAGATAATTAATCCCAAAGAATAAATTGTACTTCTCTCTCATCATTTTCTTTTAAATTTACAATTATAAGAAATATTTCATTAATGATAGAATGAGGTTACCTTAAAAATTTATCTTCTTAATCTTATATCTTCTTAAATCTATTTCTTGTTTTTAGAATTCAATGAAATCAGAACTCATTGTACAGGATATTTTAACAAAAATAAAGTACACGTATAAACCTTCATTATACTTAAATCCACATTTCAGGGTGTTCAAAGCATTCCAAATTGACTTAACTTCAAAACAAAGAAGACGGTACGGTTTGAGCTTTATTGTGCCCTAAAAATTTAATGTTATTAAAAAGATATGAAATTGGCTTTAACAATAGTTGAGTAGATGAATATGATAAATCATTAAAGAATATGGCATGAAGAAGAGCCTTTCTTGAAATATGACGTCATTAATTTGGTACATTTTCAAGTTTAATGCAGAATGACTCATTTCTGTGCTAATTTTCCTTTAGAAAATAATGTCTGCCACCGTCGCCCGCTTTGAATTTCGGATTTATTGTGCAAACAGCTATGAAAAATCACATATCTAAAAATCTTTCCGGGCGACGGTGGCAGAGTATGTTTTCTAAAAGAAAATTCCACTGAAAATTGAGGTCTTCTGCAACTTTTTAAGAAAATACGGGAAAATGCACAAGTTAATGACGTCACAATTGGCATTTAGGAGGTCATATGAGAAAAAACCAATTGTGTATTCTCACTGCAGAGAATTACTATTGTTCAGAAAACAAGAATTTTAATTTCTTATATCACTTTCATATTTTAGAAAAATATAGGGCTTTATTTGTATTGAAACTGTACCTTCTTCTTTCATTTGCAGGCAGAGGTGGTAATTCATCTCAATGTGACAGATAAAGATAATGCTTTGGATTTTCTTCAGGAGGAAAGTTAATTAATCCCAAGAGACTAATTGCAGTATTCAGTTTACAATGGGGAACATCTTTAGCAGTTATCTCTCTTTGCCAATGCATTCTTATATAAAGTTAAGGAATCTACCCCACCACCCCTGCTCCAAACCAGAGGACATAGAGAAACAAACCTAGCATCAAAATATGTCTTTTTGCCTACTGCACTACCATACCAAATTTGAACTTAATTGGACAACCATAAAAAAAGTTATTAGGAAAAAACAGAAAATTTGTGGACAGAAGAATGACAGACAGACGGACAGAGTGATTACTATAGGGCACCCGCAAATTCTTGCGGGGCCCTAATAAATACCTTATGGGCTTCAATGAAAAACACAGAAATAAATGTATCTGTATTTTCTATCAGACATCATGATACATGTGTATATTTATAGTTATTTGATGTAGAATATTGTGGGTTTAATAGTAAAAAAAAACAATTTTTTTTTATTTCCTAGGTAACTATTGTACACTTCAATATTATGATTATATTATCCTATCCTCAATTCTTTTAAGATTTTTTGCATGAATGTGGACGAAAAAATAAGTTTTATTATAAAGATACCCTACTCTCAAGTAGTGGAAGTGTGTAAGTGGGAGAAGGGTTTTAGATTATTTGCAGGCATATTATATCATCACTCCCTTTTCAAAACAGTTCAATAGGGTGACTGAAGATTTGATGACCATTATATTTTGAACCCCCCTCCCTGTGAAATTCAATGGACAGGGGACTCAATATTTTATGGCCATAATATCTTGAACCCCCCTCCTTCTTAACATAAAAGGACAGGGGGACTCAATATTTTATGGCCATAATATTTTGAACCACCTCCCTCATAAATTAAATGGGAAGGGGGACTCAATATTTTATGGCCATAATATTTTGAACCCCCCTCTGTAAAATAAGAAGGACAGGGGGACTCGATCAATATTTCATGGCCATAATATTTTGAACCCCCCTCCTTCATAAATTAAAAGGGAAGGGGGACTCAATATTTTATGGCCATAATATTTTGAACCCCGGGTTCAATATTTTATAGGGGGGTTCAATATTCAAATTGAACCCGGGTTCAAAATATCACGGGGTTCAATATATTATATGACACCGGGGCTACCATTTTTTGGGTTCGGGCGAGTGATTTTCTGCAAGGAGGTAGCCCGTCGGGCTAGTAAAAATTATAACTACACACAATACATGAAAAGCACAACCGATATTTTCACTGGTTTTTTGCTATTAAATTCCCAACCAGTGAATATTTTCCAGACAATATGCTCCAACTGTCAATAAATCTCAATAATCTTTCTGTTTTGCAGTACTACCTGACTTA